GCAGGAGGCATCGCTCGTTGGCGCATTGATGATGAACCTGGTGCGGACCTTACATTTCGTTCGCCCTTTCTTACTCATCAATTAATCACACAGCCTTCGGTGCTCATCAATCGCTTCATAATTAACCTCCAGACGGCAGGCGAAGCGATGTTGGACTACTCTGTACACACAAGTGGCCAGCAGCAAGGACAGCCAATGCTGCAGTTTAGAAGGCAAGCGAATCGGCCAGGCGACATGGGGGAGATGCTGCAAGATGGCTGGAGCGATGAACCCCGAGATGGAGGAGATGATGCTGCAGAATTGGGCGAAGAAGGACCCTATGAGACCGGTGCCGAAGCTCGAGCCGGCGTCGATGATTAAGCTGGGCCCAAGGATACGCTCTGATTTTAGATGAATAGCAAGACTTGTAACTTATGCGAGCAGTGAACTCGAAGACTATGAAATCGACTGGTCTCAAGTGAGCGGTGTACCGCCAGACTCTGATGCGTAAATATGTGTTTTTGGGGTGGTGGTTTACTTTTATATTGTAGGTAGCTATCCAAGATAGAAACTCTCAGCAAACTAAATCTACTCAAGTGTCTTCACACAGGTTGCACCATGCATTCGGGCATATCTCGCAGGTCCTGCCAAAATGATCACTTACAGGACATGCGGCGCTCTAAGGTCGCTCACAACACGACTGCATTCTTATTCTTGACGAGCGACGTATTCCGCGTTCGCCGTCCAGGGCCTGCCGCTCCCGCAAGACCTCTACCGACCGCATCAAAATATAGACAGGGCAATCGCACCAAAGCGCAGTGACCTTGGCATCCGGCAACAAGGCGTCTGTATCCAGGAAAGCGCAGGGAGCACAGTTCGCAGAGACAGGTCGCCACGCACGAGCGGAAGAGATACTCTTGCTCGAAGATGCACCTGGGCTCTCCCGCGCCATTGTGCGTAGCGTCAAGGGCCACTCTTCTCTTCAGGCCGCGGGCACTTCGGCGCGACGTACGTGGCGCCGAGTGCGACGGCGTAGTGGCGCGATACTCAGATGCCGATCGCCGCGGCCTTGCCTCAGTCGGGGATGGTCGGGTCGTTGGGGAAAGTGAGCAGCCGCACGTTATGATATATACAGAACAGAACAGGCAATAAGTCTGCAAGATCAGACTGTCAGATTATGTGATGCGCGTATGTACGGGACGGTGCACCCTACAGTTAAACATTATGCGGTGGTACGGCTGCAGCAACGCTTTCCACGCGTCGTCTAGGGGTCCCGGGCTCTCGAAGATGGAGAGCAGGTTCATGGTGTTCAACAACCATACCAAGACGGCGAGTACACCGCATGCTTTCTCACCGTGCGCCGCTCGTACGAGAACGCCGAGCGATTGGTAGATGTACACCAGGAACGCGACGAGCTCCCACCGTAAATTGGCCACTGTTGATACCTGCATCTTGACGTCGTCCCTCGCAAAAGTGGGAAGTTTGTAGGACACATAAGTATTGAGGCGCATTCATGGCGACCAAGCGTAGGGCGTACTCTGGCGCGCAAGGAACCGTGCGCTCATAAAAAAACCCTGGAGTCAGCAAATCAAGTCAGTGGGCGCGCTGCGACCGATGGCACAATAACCATCCGGATCGCCGAGGACGGCAATACCGTAGACGAGAACGACAGTGGTGCACTCCGGCGCCCCAAAGTGGGAGGCTGTTACCGGTGTAGTAGAAGGCAACGCCCTTCTCAAGGCTCTGTGGGTGCGAGAGACGCGCTGAGTGAAGAAGCTCCAATTCAAGAGATATTATTCATGCATTACATACCATGCATAGATGATTCAGCCATCTCGAACACGTCCTACTTGTTGTAATAAAAGTAGCAGGGATGGAGTGTCAGGGACTCGGGGTTACTGACGGCAAGAAGGATCAAAAGGATAAAATTATATGTATATGTGCACCTCCCCACGGAGTTTCAGGGGTGCGCCTCGCACAAGGCACGCGACGGCGTATCGACAGAGTTGTAGCTGCTTCCTGCTGTTGTTCTGGACGTTAGACCGAAAGGACAACAGAAGTTGTTTTGCTTGCCTTGCAGATATAATCCGCCCTGTTGGTACCCGAGCGTGTACGTGAGGCCTGAGCGGCCCAGTGAGTCGTAATCTATGTTTGAACTCTAAGCGGTATATCCAGATATCTATCTTGGAGGTGTAAAAATGACGGAGGGACTGGAAGCTCCCACGTCTCGGCGGAAAACACCATAGGCAAATCAAGATCAGAAAATGCACAGACCTTCAGGCGTATAATGACAAGATTACTGGCTGAGAGAGATGTTCGCTTGTGCAGGCCGAGCGTCGTCACGAGGTGTTCATCCCAACCGCAGCGTCGCACGCCGAGCTACAACCCTCGAATCCTTCAAGTCAGCCCTTCATTATGTATACTAGCGTATGTACCCCCTCAGTGCTGCCTTGCGCGCCGCATCATTACACCCGCTCTCGAAAGCCATTATGTATCAAGATTGTCGTGTGGAGTTGGACCGTTTCGAGACTCAATCCGGGGTCTCTCCAAGCGCCTCCACTCACGTGAGTGGGGACCCCGGACGCACTATCGCAGTTCGCACGCAGGGCAAAAATCTTCGCCCTAAGAGTTTCATCTGCGTCCCTCCAACTCTCTTCTCCTCCTCCACACA